ATTCCATTAAGATTTACACAATTCCTTGAGGAAAGAAACTGAATTGCTACAAAGAATGCATTGTGCTGTAAGTATTCAAAAATCCAACAGGAGTTTATTTCCAAAATTGTCGATTTTCTCAAATAACAAGAATTGTGGAGATAAATAGTTGCAAGACTCAGTTCTGCTCAGTAGTATCATTCAGACTCTGTCTTCTGGCTCTGCTCTGCCTAGGGTATTGGCCTTTTGACTTTGTGTTTGTTTTTTACTGCTTTCCCATCACCAAAGTCACTTCTTTCCTGTTTTAACTTAAGCTAGGCTGGGAATGTATTTATATTTTCTAGTCTCTGTTTTGGAGGTGGGAAGGAAGGCACGGGTTGGTAACAGGTGTTGTGTTAGGCCAACCAGTCTGTCTGCCATTGATGATGACAGAGGTTGGTGGATCCCTGTTGCTTTTATCTTCTATTGCAGATGACAATCTTCCACATTTGCTGAAGACTATATGAAACTGGTAACAGATGCTTGGAGATAAGCAATTGCAATCTAGTGAACTATGAATAATTTTGAGGAGTCTTGAAGTAGGTGAATGACTGAGATACAAAGTTCGAAAATATTTTACAACAGGATCCTTAGTCCAAATCATGAGCTCTCTACCAATTTTTTAGTAATACCTTCCTTTTAAAAAATGGTTTTCGTTTTCTTTTAAAGGCAGGTGCACACACCAACATAAACACACACACACAAAACACACACAGACACACACAGAACTGTCTTCCATCTGTTGGACTAATCCCCAAATGCAAGGAGCCAGGGATGGGGCAAACTGAATCCAGGTCTCTTATGTCTGTGGCAGGGATCCAACTACTTGAGCCATTACCTGGTGCCTCTCAAGATGTACATTAGCAAGAAGCTGGTTGAGAAGTAGAGTTGCCAGGACTTGAATCAGCACTCTGAAATGGGATGTGGGTGTCTAAATGACATCTTTTATTTCCCCTAAATATTTTTATTTATTTGAAATACAGAGTGTTAGTAAAATGGTGCAGACTTATCTGTGGCACAATCTACGCCCTGGACACCATCCTCAGCTCCAGTCCCTGCCATTAGCCATTACTGGAAGCCAGGTGACCAGATGACCCAACCACAGGTGTCAGCTCCACCCCCACCCTAGTGGGATTTGCTGCTTCTATTTCCTTGGCCCCCTGGCAAAGGTATAACAGGACCTGCTTCCTGTACACATGCCCTCTCTCTCTTACCCTCTCGCCCTCTCACCCCAGCCCATCAGGCTTCCCCCACCTGACCATAAACTTTAACTCGGGTTTGATGTGTTTTGTGGTGGCCTTACACAGAGTAACAGAGAGAGAGAGAGAGAGAGAGAGGGAGAAACTTTCAACCACTGGTTCACTCCCCAAATAGCTGCAACAGCGGGGGCCTGTCTAAGCCAAAGTCAGGAGCCAGGAACTCTATCTGGATCTCTCATGTGTGTGGCAGGAGCCTAAGCACTTGGGCCATCTTCTGTTGCTTTCCCGGGTGCATTAACAGGGAGCTGGATGGAAGCAGAGTGGTTGGGACTTGAATCGGCACTCTGATATGGGATGCCAGTCTTGCAGGCAGTGACTAAACATGCTATGCCACAACACCAGCCCCATCCCAAGTGGCATCTTAACTGTTGTGCCAAATGCCTGCCCCTATTAGTTTTTAAAGTGATAGCAGAAAGTACTGCAGATTGATGGTAAATTAAAAAATTAGCAAAACCTAAAATACTCAGAAAACACCATAAAAGATTACATAAATATATTGAAATCTATGTATATAATTTTTAAAAATGTTAGAAGTCAGATTATCCAAATTTATCTAAATTATAAACTGAGAAGAAACATAAATGCAGATAATATTATAATTCAACAGAGGTTGTTTTGGACTATCTTCTATGATCCTCAACATTTTTGAGGAACTGAGCAAGAGTTCAAATTCAAGTTTACATGTTTGTAAAATAATTTTAAATTAAGTCAAATTTGTTGTTAAATGTCTGTTGGAGCATGGAAACCTAAGTTTTCTAAGACTAGAAGAACTGTTACCTTATTTTGTATTATCCATAAGATTATGTACTTCCTTTGAGAAGCAGGTTTGCTGCTAATTATTTTGAGAGTATAATTCTTACAAAATGTACCAATTCTAATTATGCATCAAGTACCTACTGAACATTTGCCATGTGCAAATCCAGCAAACAGGCACTGGAGATACAAGGGTGAAGCTGAAGAATAGTTTTGTGCACTGGTGGTGGACAAAAGGCAAACAACTAATAAAGTATAATAATGGATGGGGAAAACCCAGTGATAGTTTGGCACAGAATACACACCTTGGGGGGGGGGGTTGCGAAGTAGTGTAAAAGTGGAGGAATAGGGAAAAGGCTCATTGGGCTATGTGGTGTCTAATAGAAGTTGGCCCAGGGACAGTGCTAGGAGGGGTGAGGGCAAGGGTAGGAGAGATTTTTCCCAATCAAAGGTCGCAGCAGGTGTGCGGACAAAGACACGAGAAGAAAGAGCAGTTGGAAGCAATCAAACCAACCAAGCTCTCATCTTGGTGTCAGGAGAGTTGGGTTCTTGTCTTTGTTCTGCCATTGTGAGATGTGTGTGACACGTTGGGAAAGGACCTCTCCCTTGATGAGGTCTATTTTCTGATTTACTTAGTTACCACTCTTCGTCTTCTTGTGAGCCGCAGCAGAGACAGCCCCTTCTCTGATGGGGTGCGATGTAGCCAGAATTAAGCTAACAACCATCGGCTAACATATTAAGTTGTATTTTAGGGCTCGCCAAGCCAAAGATAATTTTATTTTTACTAGTAACACTGTGATTTTTACTTAGAAGCAGTTAAATCAAATATGTGTGTTTCTATCCTTTAATCCTAAAAAAAATTATTTTTGAATACCAGACGCTAAAATGATTTTCCTTGGTTCCAAATTTGCCACTTCTTGTTTTCGCGTGCTTTTCAGATAATTAACTCTTCTTTTTTTAGTTTGTACTATTAAGCATGGGGTTTCTCTGTAGTCATTCCAAGTGGAAGAGTATTAAAAAATCTATTTATACTGTGCATACTTGAAAGTGTCATTTGGCCTTGACGTGTGGTGCCAGCAGTATTTTGTTTTCGTTGGGTATTAGCAGTTGGGCCAACTCAGTGAATCATAAAGTCTCCTAATTAGAACTGCAAAAAGTTTTTCACTGTGCCATCACTCCCATTTAGTGTCTTGATAAACCTGATCTTACTGCTTAGACTCTAAGAGAGGGAAACTGATGCGACTGTTATCACTTGATGAAAATATGCGCAGTAGAAAAAGTAAGATTTTCTATTACCTATGTCCTGTTTTTATTGAATATTTTATCACACCCAAAGATTCTAATGCAGGTTATATAGCTGCCAATGAAACATGCAAATCTCAAAAAAAGACATTACTGTGTAACAATTCCTCCTGAATCTGTTCTATTTTTCAAACTAAAAATAGAAATTAACAGTTTTTTTTTTGACAACTACCATTTCTTTAAGGGCTTAACCTCTGATTGATGTGGTAAACAATAAAGGGAAAATATCTGGAACAATGGGTAGGCTAATAGGGGTGACAGCTGGTGTTTTTCAGCACCTGCCTTTACACCTGGGAGGCAGGGATCAGAGGTGGTTAAATCTCCATTGTTCCTTTAATGGACCAGATTTCATACATAATCCTCTCTTGTTTTTGTTTTTCACTTTTTCCTTAAAATAAGCCAGTAAGACCTTATTCATTATAAGAGATAAAATTGAAAAATTTGGTCACAACTTTACTGTTTGTGAAAAACAATGTGCTGCTATAGTTTTCCCAGGTGTGATATAAAGTGCATTTTCCTAGAGGCAGAAAAAGTTTATTGCTTGCCCAGTATTTTAAGGGAATACAAGGGGCCTGTCTCTTAGGTATTGCATGTATTTTCATACTGTTAGGGTCTCAATCTAGTCCCCAAAATTCATTCTATTTCCTTGATAGGAATGTTTTCTTCCTTCAGCGGAAAATATTTAAGTGCCACTGTTATTATTAATATTTATACATTGCTCTATGGTATCACAGTAGAAAAATATGTGTGGCCAAAAATCTTTGAAATGCGTGAATAAAATTTTTCTGAACAGAGAGAATGCTAAACTATACTGGCATTTAGCGAATGGAATCTAGTAGTTGAAGTCAAAATCATGACCCTGAGTTCTCGTGATTTATTCCTCTAAACATGCTTTTTATAGTCATGTTATTTGACTTGTATCCTGGAGAGGTAAATTTGCCACAAGTACATCTTTTCCCATCTATTGTCTCAACTGCCTTTTCTCCTGAGATTTTTTTCTTACATTTATTTACCTTTCAGTTTTCATTAGGTGAGAAAATCATGGTACTCCATCTAACAGAGTGTTTGTCATTCACATTTTAATCCCATTTTTTCTGACTTTTGTTCCTTCAATTGAGCCTTGAGTATTTGTATTCCCTAGCTTCAGTTCCTGATCCTTTTATTATTATTAAACATATATGCTCATCTTGGAGGTCTCTGTCACTTTGACAGATGACTTCTAAGTGCATGTCTCCAGAAGTGAGCTCTCTCCTGGAAAGTGGACTTGGACTTCAACTCTTTTCTGGACACATTTCTAGATGGAATTCCTGTGGGAAGCTGTAACATAGTATATCTCAAATCAGGGACATTAAAAGGTCAGGCTCAGAGACAGACAAGTTTGGGTGTATGAGTCAATGTTTGCATGTATTGCAAAGGTAAAATTATAATTTTCCATTACATCATACCAACATTAACCAGTTTTTCTATACATTAAACTCAGTCTCAACTTTTAGCTCCTATGCGTTCAGAAGCCCAATATTATCATGAATCTGATAGCTTTATATTTTTCAGACATCCACTTTGTAATATGCCATGTTTAATTCTGGTAGCACATAGCCATAAATGTTTAATAACATATAGAAAACGTGTTCTCAAATTTATATTAGTTTTTCCTTCATCTATTTCCAGTTATCCTTTAAAATCTTAGTGTGAATGAAGAATCTGCAGACAAACGCATTTCACAGATTCCTAGTGGTTGTTAGGTTGGACTTTCAACACAAGAGTATTTACCGAGTCAAAGGCCATGGATTCTCGTGTTAGACAAGAACATCGAAATTAAGAAATGATCCTGAGAAATTCGGTAAATTCTACACGGACTCAGGTTTTGAGTCTAAAGGTAAGTCCCACGTGGCTAAAGGTCATATTCCAAGTTGCTTCCCTGTCTCCACGCTCAGGAAGTTCTAGCGCCGTCGGTCAGAGGCCCTGAGCTCAGGCCCTGGCCAACACCTATAATCCATCATCCCAGGGCCCCGCGGCCTCCTTCTCGGAGTTCCCCGGGAAGCCCTGGAAAGGGGGTATCCCAGTGATCGTTAGGGAACAGAACACGAGGTCCAGCTCGTCTGTCGTTCATTCATTGGGCAGTAAACACAGGTAACGACACGCAGCGCGGGCGACGAACCCTGCTGTAAACCCGGTACGCGCCGTCGCTGGGGCGCGGGGTCCCCAGTGACTCAGAGCCCGACCGGCCTTCCGGGCTCGGCGCGTCCCGGGGGGCGGGGGCCGGAAGGGCGCGGCCGGGGGCGGAGCCGGTGCGGCCTGGGAGGGCGTGTCCCCGAGGAGGCGGAGACAAGATGGGCGCTCGGAACGCTTGGAGGACCTAAGAGGCGGCGGCCGGGGCCACGCCCCGGGCGGGAGGGCCGCTCTGTGCGCGCCCGCTCTATGATGCTTGCGCGCGTACCCCGCGCGCCGCGCTGCGGGCGGGGCGGGTCTCCGGGATTCCAAGGGCTCGGTTACGGAAGAAGCGCAGCGCCGGCTGGGGAGGGGGCTGGATGCGCGCGCACCCGGGGGGAGGCCGCTGCTGCCCGGAGCAGGAGGAGGGGGAGAGCGCAGCGGGCGGCAGCGGCGCTGGCGGCGACTCCGCCATAGAGCAGGGGGGCCAGGGCAGCGCGCTCGCCCCGTCCCCGGTGAGCGGCGTGCGCAGGGAAGGCGCTCGGGGCGGCGGCCGTGGCCGGGGGCGGTGGAAGCAGGCGGGCCGGGGCGGCGGCGTCTGTGGCCGTGGCCGGGGCCGGGGCCGTGGCCGGGGACGGGGCCGGGGCCGGGGCCGGGGCCGCGGCCGTCCCCCGAGTGGCGGCAGCGGCCTTGGCGGCGACGGCGGCGGCGGCGGCTGCGGCGGCGGCGATGGGGCATCAGCATGGGTGGGGGCAGCGCCTACCGGCGGGAGCCGGTCCCTTTCCCGTCGGGGAGCGCGGGGCCGGGGCCCAGGGGACCCCGGGCCACGGAGAGCGGGAAGAGGATGGACTGCCCGGCCCTCCCCCCCGGATGGAAGAAGGAGGAAGTGATCCGAAAATCTGGGCTCAGTGCCGGCAAGAGCGATGTCTACTACTTCAGGTACCGCCCTGGGGCGGGGGGGAGGGGGCGGCGGGGTCAGCCCGGGGTCAAGGGTCAAGAGCTGGCCTGGGCCGGGGGTCCCCGGAGGGGCCCGGGGGATGTGTGTGCAGGGCAGGCTGGCCGGGCAGTGAGGGGTGTGAACCCTCGGGTGGGAGTCGGCCCCGGCGTCCCATGCCAGAGGGGTCAGGAACAGTGGTTTGGTGTGCCGTGCGAGGGTTCTTGCGGTCGGGAGGAGTTGTCCACGGAAGGGTTAAAAGAAGGTGTAATTCATCGAAACTATAAAACCCAGTGGCTGTTGGCTCCTGTCCTGGCCTGTCCTAGATTCATCATCGCAGGAGTGTTTAATCATGCACATGTGGAAGAATTAGCTCTGCGCAGCAGCGAGGGTTAGGTTGCTTCGTGGGCCCCGGGAAAGTTTCACGGGAAGCGGCTGCTTGGAATGCCTCAAGTTTTGTTGTAACTCCCCTGGTGTTGCAGAGCCTTTGTTACTTGGTTGATAGCCTCCCAACCCGCCATTCGCCCCCCAGGGAACACTTGGCAATGTCTGCAGGTATTTTTGGTTCTCACACCTGGGGAGGGGTTCCTGGCGTCCTGTGAGTAGAGGCTAGATAGAGGTGGTGCTTCGGGTCCTACGGGTATTATGCTTGGGACGGGCCCCAGCAGAGTGGTCTGGCCCGGAGTGCACCACCGACGCTGGGGTGGAGAAATCCTGGTTTAAATGAGTCGCGATGTTTCGCCTTCATGTCATCCTGCAGTCCTTTGGTCATGCTGTTTGTGGCCTTAGCCTGTATAACCCAGTCAGCTTCCTGAAGTGTCTGTGGCTGGTAACCGTGGAATTACAAACAAACTGACTAAATTTTCTTAGAAGCCATCCCATCTATAGAGGAGAATATAATGATGTTGTAGTCAGTGCTTTGGAGGACTGTGCTTGTGGACTGATAGAAGCATTTTTCAGGAAACGTGTCTGGGTTTTGGAGCCAGTCGTCAGCCATTTAGCCATTGCAGTAGTGTTACGAAGGATTTCCTGTCTTATGTCATCATGTAGGATAATGCATTACCCCTGGGAAAATGTTCATATGTGCATGCAGTGCAATGCTTACGCATTGGGAGTACTCTTAAATAGATTTCAGAGGTTTAACAAGAAAACTCCACTCCCTAAGTGATAAATCCACACAAGCGTGTGTCGCTGTTGGTGCAGCATATCAAAGTGCACTTGCTTCTGATGGTTGCTCAGATGCATGGAGAAGTTTCAGTAAATGAATCTCAGTTCTTCAAGTAAAAAAAAATTGAAGCGGTGTTGCATTAGGACATTTTCACTTCATCTGAGACCACTCCTCTTGAAATCTTAAGTAAGGAGTTGATGTTGTGGCTTAATGGGTAAAGCCGCTGCCTGTGTCGTGGGCATCCCATATGGGTTCCTGTTCATATCTGGACTGCTCCATTTCCAATCTAGCTCCCTGCTAATGGCTGGAGAAAGCAGCAAGAGATGGCCCAAGTGTTTGTACCTCTGCTACCCACGTGGGAGACCCCAGTGAAACTCCTGGCTTCTGACTTCAGCTTTGCTCAGCCCTGGCTGCTTGGCCATTTGGGGAGTGAACCGCACATGGAAGCTCGCTCGCTCTCTCCTTCTCTGTAACTCTTTCAAATAAATAAATCTTAAAAAATAAATTGGAAAACTTAGAAATATGAAAGCAGATTCTATTGTTTTGTATTTCCTCATCCTTAAATATTCGATTTCATGCTAAGTATGTTATTGTGGTAAAAATAGAATTGCTGCCTGCGCCATGGCTCACTAGGCTAATCCTCCGCCTTGCGGTGCCGGCACACCGGGTTCTAGTCCCAGTCGGGGCCCCAGATTCTGTCCCGGTTGCCCCTCTTCCAGGCCAGCTCTCTGCTGTGGCCCGGGAAGGCAGTGGAGGATGGCCCAAGTGCTTGGGCCCTGCACCCCATGGGAGACCAGGAGAAGCACCTGGCTCCTGCCATCAGATCAGCGCGGCGCACCAGCCGCAGCGCACCGGCCGCGGCGGCCATTGGAGGGGTGAACCAACTGCAAAGGAAGACCTTTCTCTCTGTCTCTCTCTCTCACTGTCCACTCTGCCTGTCAAAAAAAAAAAAAAAAAAGGAAAAAAAATAGAATTGCTTCTCTCAAGTTCACCTACGGGCTGTTCACAGCTTTCGTTTGTAGATTGTTTCATCCACAGCAACTTTTATTTCCGTTCTGAGCAGGCAGTCTGCATGGCCTTCTGTGAGCTGTCTGCTGATGCCTTATAGGCAATGATATTTGACAAGAATATTCTGTCTGGAGTTGAACTCCTTGAGGAATAGGTGACTACTCCACTCTCAGTGGAACATTTTTTTTTTTTTTTTAAGATTTTTATTTATTTATTTGAGAGAGAGAGTTAGAGACAATGAGAGGGAGAGACAGAGAGAAAGGTCTTCCATCCCCTGGTTCACTCCCCAAATGGCTGCAATGGCTGGAGCTGGGCGGATCCGAAGCCAGGAGCCAGGCGCTTCTTCCTGGTCTCCCACGTAGGTGCAGGGGTCCAAGGGCTTGGGCCATCTTCTACTGCTTTCCCAGGCCATAGCAGAGAGCGGGATTGGAAGAGGAGCTGCCGGGACTAGAACCGGCACCCACATGGGATGCCGGTGCCACAGCTCCAGCCGCGGAGCATCTTAAAATTTGAATTTTACTCCTTGTGACAGTTCTCCCGGGATATGGTTTATTTGGTTTTGAGGTTTTCAGTTGACGTATTTGCAGTAACTTTAGGTTATTGCATAGCTTTTTGTTTGCTTTACTTGTAGTAGCTGGAAAATTACTTCAGAAAGTCTATTAATAACAGGTTTAGATTTGTGATCATTTAACAGTTTATTGAATGTTAAGTTTTGTGTAAAGTTTTGAATGTGAAATTTTTTAAGATTTATTTATTTATTTGAAAGAGCTACAAGAGAGAGGACACACAAATGCGCACAGCGCGCGCGTACACACCCTCCCACCCCTCTTCTGCTGGTTCACTTCCCGAGTGACTACAGTGGCTAGGGCTGGGCCAGGCTGAAGCCCTGAGCTTTTTCCAGGTTTCCCACATTAGTGGCAGGGGCCCAAACACTTGGGCCATTTTCTACTGCTTTTCCCAGTCCATTAACAGGGAGCTAGAGCAGCTGGGATATGAACCTGCACCCATATGGTATAGTGTCACATGTGCCGGCTTTACCCGTTAAACCACAGTGCTGGCCTCTAAGTGTGAAATTTTTTTATACAAACTCAATAGATATTTTATGGTAGAAAATACTGATATGATCACTTAGAAACAGACTTTCTAAGCAAGTTTGTGTAGAGGCAAATTGCAAACCAGTATAAGTAATCTGTGCACTGAAAGTTTTTATGAAATGCTGCAGCCTATTTGCCTTTTACTTGTTTGTGCAAACTGAAATGGAGAGGACACATTGAACAGATTTGTACCCAATGTGTTTAGTTTAGAGCTGTAAGGAGTATTGTCTTGCTTATTGAGTACCTACAAAGTGTTAGTTACTGTGCAGGATTGTAGCATCCAGTCTTTATTCCTTTCTTAGACGTTAGGTTAGGATACATGTTAGGTAGTGTAGGATAGTTGTGACACAGTAGTTCCTTTGCCTTGTGACTTTAGCTTTCTGTGATGAGTAATGGTTGTTATCTACTTATTTTAAAGGAAGACAAATTGTTTTTCAACCCACAGTGTCACTATTTTACATAGTAGTGTCTCATATAACTACCCTTAAAAAAAACAGTTGCCCACTAAAGAGCACTTATCTGTTGACAGGTGGATTCAGAATTGATTCTCCCTTTGGTATTGTGAACACCTGCACCCAGTTATTCACAAAGAGCCTAATAATGCTAACTTCTGAATTAGCCTGCCCCTGGGGAGATTAACCAAATCTCTGCCTGTGAACGTAGGGTGTGCCTGATATTTATTAATTGGACTGAAATTAAGCTCACTGAGAAAGTCTCAGGTTTTGGTAGCGTATGTTTTGGCTCCATGCTGACACTGCCGAGTTTTAGTAGGAAGGTGTGCCCTCTAGTTGCCAGTTAAGCAATGTAATTATGCTTTCTGTCAGGATTACTGATAGTGTTGTGGCAGTTCGTATATTATCATTAATTCTGTGTTTTGGAAGGGTGTGTTCTGATAAAGTATTGGATCCATTGGTATAATTTCTGAAAAAGTCCACTGCCATCATTTGAACTCCTTATTTGAATGATAATTTTCTAACTAGTCTACTTGAATCCTGACGCTCTAGTCTTGGGTTCCTTGCATGATACTTGCTGGCTCACATTTTCTTTTTCATAGGCTCCTTTAGCTACTGTCTCATGCCTTTTTGATCAAGTTTAAACTTGTTGGGTTGGGTTCTAGACTCTTGGTTATAACTTGAGTGAAAGATCTGGGAATCACGGTAAACTATTATAGCTGCTGTCATAAAATATCATTTGGTTGGATATTAGAAACAATAATAAACATTTTTGACTCATCAAAATTATGATTTGTACCTGATCACTTCTGGAAAAAGGAACAACAGGAACAGGGAATTGAATAATCATAGGGAGCAGGTATCTCCGGAAAGACTGAAACATTTCACCTTCTTCATCTGAGGAGGACTCACATAATTGAGGTCTGTAACATCATAAGTTATATTGATAAGATAGAAGTTTCTAGAGAAGGCAGTACAGAGCTTAGGGGTTAAGCCATCTGGAGGTTTTACTTCATTTTGAGCCTGTGGTGAGTGATAGTGGTACCTTGAGTATAATGCCTGAGGGCATGAGTTCTGAATCATGGAGAATGTCAGAGTTCAGCCAAACACCCTCCCCTCCCTGCCTTACAAACAAAAACAAAAACCTTCTCCAGATTCTTAGATATTTGTGTTAAGGTCTTCACCATAGTAATTTTCTCTGGTTATTCCTGCATAGTTAAACCTGATATCCCCATGTAGTGCTTTCATATTCCCATATTTCCTGTGGTTGTATCACCTAGCTG